AGTTTTGTAGTTGCCCTTCTTAGTAATTCCTACTTCCTGTTCACACATTTTCCAATTCTTTCACTGAAAGCCTGATACCAGTTTTTCAATATATCAAAACAGACAAAAATATTGTTTCTTATAATAATGAACAGGAACATTATAGGGAAAAATGCATAGTGTGCAGGAAATGTATTTTATGAAGTGAGACTGAACATAAGAGTCTCATAGATCAAGGAGCAGGTAAGGAAAATAATATTCATTAACGCTGAAGAGAAGTTGATTTATGTGTTCAGGCTTAGAGTGGGGAGAGGCTGAACTCCACTTTGACTGACATTTTGTTTACAATAGAATTGTAGAATTTAAAATACAGTGAAATGTTGTACCCAAACCCTGTTACCCTCCATTCTTCCTGTGCTCAACTTCACTCCCAAATTCACTACCTTCTCTCCCCCAGAGGCACAGGGGGACAGAGAATGGGGGCTGTGGTCAGCTTATCACACTCTCCTTCCTCCTCAGGGGAGAACTCCTCACACTCCTCCTTCCCTCCTCCAGCGTGTCCTTCCCACGGGATGCAGTCCTCCCTGAACTCTAACGTGAATCCTTCCTGCAGTTCTCCATGGACTGATCCAGCATGGATCCCTCCACAGTTCAGGAGGGTTCAGGAACAGGCTGCTCCACTCTGGGTCACTCACAGGGTCACAACTCCTTGCCAGCAAACCTGCTCCAGTGTGGGCTCCTCTCTCCATGGGGCCACAGGTCCTGCCAGGACCCTGCTCCAGCATGTGCTTCCCATGGGGTCACAGCTTCCTTTGGGCATCCCCCTGCTCCAATGTGGGGTCCTCCAGGGGCTGCAGGTGGATCTCTGTACCCCCATGGACCTCCAGGGGCTGCAGGTGGATCTCTGTACCCCCATGGACCTCCAGGGGCTGCAGGGGCACAGCTGCCTCACCAGGGTCTGCACCACGGGCTGCAGGGGAATCTCTGCTCTGGCACCTGGAGCACCTCCTGCCCCTCCCTCTCCACTGCCTTGGGTGTCTGCAGGGTTGTTCCTCACACATATTCTCACTCCTTTCTCCTGGCTGCAGTTGTGCAGCTTCTTCCTCACCCCTCTTCTTAAATCTGTTATCCCAGAGGTGCCAGCCCTTGGACCCGATCTGTCAGACATGGGGGAAGCTTCCAGCAGCTTCTCACAGAAACCACCCCTGTAGCCTCCTCCCTCTGGCCACACAAACCCAATGCATTAATATATTGTAGGAGACTTATTAGAGGAATAAAGAGAGGCATATATTTTTGTTGACAGAAGAAATATATTGTTTATTCCTCTGGAGTCTCATGTTGCTCATATTGCTGCTGTGTCTTATTGCCTGTCACCGAGCTGTGCTGTGTGGGCGGAAATGTCAGACCCTGTATTGGCTCTGCAAGAAAATCTGTGTGTTACTCTGATTTCTCATACTCAGTTGGGTTTGCTTTAATGTTGTCCCTACAGAATGTTCACTTTTGCTGGCAACTTTAGGCATCTCTTTTTTCCACAAAGCGTCCTGCTACGTAAATTTACTCCTGGTAGTTTGTTAGTTTGTTTGTTTGTTTGTTTGTGAAAGAGGGATTTTGCAAAGAGGTATTTTCAAACTGAAATGGGCCACACTGACCCTAAGTAGTCACAGGGCTGGTTCAGTTTCATGGAGGAAATGGAAGTTACTGGATGTAAGAGGCTTTGAGAGTTTCAGTATCTCCCTGCACACCTCCCTCCACCACACTGCCAAAATTGTCAGATGGTGCCACTGATACACGTTTCTTAAAATGTGCTTCTACTGTAAAAAGTCACAAGGTAAAAGCAGCCCCTGCTCATCTCTTGCAGGTTCTTGCTGCTGGTACTCAGAACTAAAAGCCTTTTAGCAGGAAAGTGGCTCCAAGTGCCAGTGCTTGAGCTGCTTTCTCTGGGTTTTGTGGAGTATCTCCAGCAGAGTTAAGCTCTGTTTAGTTATCAGTAGATTTGGAGCTACATGAAAGGTATTTTACAGTGGTAGCAATGCACAAGAGGGAAGGGGATTCACCTCATTGCCCCTTAGCTTTGTTACTCTGAAGAGTATTCAAGTATAACCAACAAAAGTTAATATACTAACTCTGTGAGCATATCGGTGCATTCAAAGGAGTAGGGATGTGGAACAAGCAGGTAACCTTATTTACAGCCTTATTTTTCATTGTGTAACCACAGTTTCCATAGGTTTGCACAGGTGATTCTGGAAATTTCACATCAGTGTGTTTGTGAATTGTTGCTCAAGATCTCATGTCAAAGGATCTGCTTAGGTGTCACTAATGTAATATTTTGGCTAAGCAGGATATTCATTGCCAGTGTTGATGTGGATGAAAATGATTTGGTTTTCAGATCACAGATGCACCTGCAAGCTATGAAGGACATCATTTTGTTTTTCAACAAAGCACTCTTTTGGTAATTACCAGATAAAGGTGGAAAACCACAATGCAATTTTTATGGAGTTGCAATGCACAGATAGCGATAGATCTGTGATTCTCTTTGGATGGTCAAATCACTTCAGATGATATAATCTGCAATATATTGAAACTTTGGGAAAGAGTTGCTGCAATTGCTTGGATCTGGAGAGTTGACAATGCCTGGGATGAAACTGGGCTTCTGTCATCATTTGCAGAGTCTGTGCTTTTGGATTTTCTTACAGCCTCTGCATTTTGAAGGTCCTAATGATGACTCTGAGCCAAACCACCATCTCTGTGCAGAGCACAAGACAAGGACTTTGCAGGGTGTATTTGCACAGATCCTGGCCCACGTGGGCATGGATGGATGATTTCTGGTATTACTACAATATTAAAACATTATATTGTAGTAATTTAATCAATAATTTTTAGTGAATGGGGTTTTTATGTAATTCCTCAGACCTACAGAGCACAAGTCCTACATTTTCCCATATCTGTGGGATGCAACCTGCCACCTTTCTTTACAGGCCTCTACACCTGGTCTAGTCTGCAGCAACCTGGAATTGTAGTTTCAGTGGAAATTTTGTTGAGCTGAACACACCTCTGATGGATTAGATCTGCAGGAGTTCCTACTACTGAGCTAAAGAAATCTTTCCTGGATGTGAACTCCCAAAACCTAATGACATGATCGATTTTTTTCAGATGATTCTGAGAACATCAAAAAGGTGCTTGACAAAAATTTATAATGTTCCAAGAAAAAGTTGTTCAAAGTTGAGTTTTATATATGGCAGAGCCTTATTCTTAATCCCAGAAAAACTCTCTTGGATGAAATTTACTGCAGAGGTTTGGTCTTAAGCAGAAATGTGGCAGAGAAAATTCCAACCCATTAAATTCAAAGCATTAAAAACTGGCAAAACTATTGGAAACAGGATCTTTAATGGACCATGTAAGGTGATGTTAGTAGCAAGTAGTTTTAGCTGCCTCTCAGCTCTTCCCTCTGTACTGTGGGCAAGCTTTATGACTGCATTCAGCACTTCCCCTTGCTCTGCCAAAATATGGCTTTAAATGAGTTTTCACGAGTCAGTTCTAAAAGGCTTTATTATGGAAACAGTTCACGCCTTAAAGGAGTATATTTAGGTCTTGTGAAAGATGCCAAGTAGCAAGCTCTGGAGGCAAATTCTATATTTATAAACAAATCAGGCTAAAGTCATCCCAAAGTATCCTCTGTCTCCGAGTGAAGTGTTCAGCTTCACACTGCAGAGGCTGGTGTTTGGGGGGATGCTGGTGGTGGGACTGTGACTGCTCATGGTGATGTGACACCAGTCTGGCTGCTGGAAATTGGAGGGGAATCCAGTACAAAGCTGAGCAGGGCTGGGGGCTTGGTCCTGTCCTGCTATTCCATCATTTGAGAATCACAGAATCATTGGGGCTGGAAAAGACTGTCAAGATCATCGAGTCCAACCATTAACCCAGCACTGCCAGTTCCACTGCTAAACCATAAGTGCCACATCTACATGTTTTCTGAACACTTCCAGGGATGGTGATTCCCTGGGCAGCCTGTTCCAACGTTTGACCAACCTTTAAGTGAAGAAATTCTTCCTAATATCCCATCTGAAGCTGCCCTGGTGCAACTTGAGGGTATCCTCTTGTCCTGTCTCTTGTTGCCTAGGAGAAGAGGCTGATCCCCACATGGCTCCAACATCTTTTCAGGTGTTTGAATGGGCATCAGGGAGAGAGACTGACCTTTGAGTGGGCACTTGGGAGCCATGACTGAGGGCCATGAAGTTCCTAAGGGGATTGGGGAACCTTCTCTACAGGGACATGGGGCTGTTCAGCCTGGAGAAGAGCAGCTTGTGTGGAGACCTCACAGCCCCTTCCAGGATCTGAAGGGCTGACAAGGAAACTGGAGAGGGACTGGGCATCAGGAACTGGAGTGACAGGACAAGGAGGAATGGGTTCAAAGTGAAAGAGGGGAAATTTAGGTTAGCTATAGGGAAGAAATTCTTGGCTGTGAGGATGGTGAGGCCCTGACACAGGTTGCCCAGAGAAGCTGTGGCTGCCCCATCCCTGGAAGTGTCCAAGGCCAGGCTGGATGGGGCTTGGAGCAACCTGGGATAGTGGAAGGTGTCCCTGCCCATGGTGGGGGGGTGTGACTGGACGATCTCTAAGGTCGCTTCCAACCCAAATCATTCGGGGATTCTATGACATCGAGTGATGCCCCAGTGAAGCACACAGTGCTCGTTGTCACAGGGGGCCAAAGGGCAGCAATGGGGATCCCATCTCCGTGCAGCCGCCCGGAGTCATCTCCACCCTCAGTGCTCTCCCTGCCCAATCTCTGTGCCCGAGCAGCGCTGTGGAAGTGTCCCAGCTCCCACTTGTCCCTCTCTCCATCCTTTGTGCCACCGGGACACGACCCGGCCCTCACGTCCCCCCCTCCCGCCGGGGCAGCCGCGGCCCCTCGCGCGGCCTGCAGGGGGCGCCCCAGGCGCGGTGCGCGGCGGGGCCGCCAGGGGGCGCGCGCTGCCGCGGCGGGCGGTGCGGGCGGTGCGGGCTGAGGGGGGGGAGCCGCCGCCCCGCCCGCCCTCAGTCGCTGCCGGAGCCGCACCGAGCGCAGGGCGCAGCGCTGTCCCTTCAGCACCGCTCCCCCCGCGGGATCACCGCACGGGAACCGGCCCCGCCGCCGCCTCTCGCCGCCTGCTTTGCAGTAAGTAGTGCCCGCGGAACCCCCCGCCCCGACCCCCAGCCCCGCCGCCCCTGGGGGGAGCCGGGAGGGGGGACCCCCGAGTGCCCCGGGGCGTGCAGGGGAGGGGCTCGGCACCCTCAAAGGGCTGCAAAAACTGGGGGGGGGGGTGGGTGGATCAAACCCACCCCTAGGGTCAGTGGGGGATGGCGCCCCGTCCCCGTGTGCCTGTCTTTCCATGTGCCCTGTCCCCGTGTCCCCGTGCATGTCTGTGGCAGTGGTGGTGCTTGGTGGCACTCCTGGCAGTGCTGGTGACATTCCCGGTAGTGCTGGTGACATTCCTGCTGGTGCTGGTGACATTCCCAGGGGTGCTGGTGGCTCTCCCCGTGATGCTGGTGACATTCCCAGCAGTGCCGGTGACATTCCCGGTGGTGTGGGGTCCGCCGTGTCTGTGCTGACAGCTCGGGGGGGCTCAAGGAGTGTGTTTGGGATGTCTGTGTAAGGCAAGTGTGTCGGTGAAGTCCTGTTCCCTGGAACCCAGGGACCGATGCATCACCCCACAGCGAGCAGGGAAAGGCAGGAATCCTCCCCTTCCCACTGCCCCTGTGACATTGATCACCTTCCTGGTTTTAGGTCTGGAAAGCAAGGTCCAAGGATGGTGAAGCTGGGGAGTAATTTGAACGACAAGAACAACAAACAACCATCCAACGAAGATGGTTTTCAGACAGTTCCTTTGATCACACCTTTGGAAGTAAATCACCTGCAGTTCCCGGCTCCGGAAAAGGTAAAGCAGAATCAGATGCTGCTCCTGCATGGTTGTGCACACATATGTGCCCCGTGGTTTTCAGTGGGCTCTGGTGATAGGAACTGTGGCATATTTATTCAATAAATAAAAAGGGGTTATCTTTCATAGTGTGTTTACCTGTTTTTACATGGCAAATAAGCACACAACTATCCCCCAACTCCTTCCCTCCTCAAACTCTCCCTCCCCTCCCAAATATTCTTAAATACAGCTGGAAAAAGCTTGGCGTGTTTCTCTTGCAAGTGCTGAAGAAGCTGAGGAGCAATTTAAAATGTGTTATTATCAGTAAGATTAATGGCCTGCATTGAGAGTAATGTGATAACTCTTCCGAAATAAGCAGCTGTTTTAATTATCTCAGTTAAGCTCCGTTTTCTTCTCCGTGGCTTTGCAAAGCTTATTTGGGCACTGAGGATGCTGATTTCTCTGGGGAGAGTGGTTGAGTTCCTGGGGAGCAGCCCAGAGGTTTGTTTGGCCCTGACCAGAGGACACGGTTCTCCCCTGCCCTCTCAACTCTCTCACACCTGAATGCAGCACTAAGATGTCCAGGAATGTGTGTTGGCAATTGGCTGTGGGTTGTGGTTGGGATTTTTTGGATGCAGCATGTACTAGGAAATCTTTTGTCTCTGTTGGTGCAGGGATGATGCACATCAATATAACCTGGTGAGGACATGATGAGACTGTAAAAATCCATATGCCCCAACAGTCCTTACCAAAACAAAGCCTGTCTGCAATGTAGTTCCCAGATACCACAGAGGTGGAGCCAATTCACCCCAAAGTACAGACAGAATGATTAGATCTCACAGGATAATGGAATAACAGCAAAATTAACACTGATGTTTATTGAACATATATCCTGTTTTTACGGTGGTACAAAATGAATTTTCCCTAAATAACATTAGGAGAACATGATGATGGATGTGATAAACCTGCCTAGGTAGACAAACTGTGTTTATTTTATGGTAGAGCTGAGTCAACTGCCTTGACATCCTGGGAACCAGAGCTGTGCCAGACAAAGGAGCTGGTTTCGTTCTCCATGTGCCTCATGACGATCAGGTGCAACTTTGCTGCATTCAGGGGAGTTAGATTTCCAAAGCCATTGTGAATGAGAGGCTAAACTAGCCCTTACCTATGACTGATAAATAAGATTAAGCAAAATAATTCAGGCAAAGCAGTATGATTTGTCATAGATGTCTGAAAACCTCAGAGGAAACTCTAGGTGTGTAAAAGTAGCTCCTTTCATGCCACTACAAATGGTGCACTGAGATCACCCAGTGTCACAGGGTGTGAAATTTAAATGACTCGAGGATCAGGTGAGACATGGATTACCCAACAAGAATTCTTTCAGCCTGATAAAGTGGTAATGAGTGTTCTCACAACCACCATGTTCCAATTGCCTGTTGGTGAACAAACACTGGAGTGTATTGGTCTGCTGTGATTCCTTGCTGATTTTTCTGTTTAAACATGCCTACATCAATAATTCACGTGTTGTTAGGTTACATTACCTTCATTAGCATACATTACTGTCAATGCATCTACTGACATCCATATTTTTCTTTGCTGGAAGAGTGGGATGTATCTCCAGGCGTGCTGAGCATGATTCAGAACTCATTAGAGTCAGAGGTATTGATTTCTGCAGGCTGTGGTTCAGCTCCTGTGTGCAGCAGGCCTGGAGTTAACGGGCTGGAGATCCCTTCACTAGGAAGAGAGGTTATTTATGATAAAAGCAAAATAATTCACAATCTGTTTCCTTTGCTCTCTGTAGAACAGGTTCTGTTGGGGTGAGTTCACTCCAGGGCAGAGGGGCTGTTTAAAGACCTGCTAATAAGGAGCTGAGCCTCAGGTGAAAAGCTTGGGCAGAGGTTAAGTGAAAGGGGGAAATTGCAGCTTTGTACTTAGGAAAGCAAAGCTGCTGCTGAATTCAGTCAGGCTGTGAGTCTGAGGAGGAGTCGACATGATTTCAAGTATTTCAGGGTGTATTCTTGCTTGGCAGTCAGGAGGCAAGGTTAAAAAAACTACCTAAAATTGACTTTTTTTCTGTCTATTCCTGAAACCTGTCAGCAATTGATTTTTAGCCTGGGAGAGTGAGAGCATAAGGTAAGGTGTTTTCTGTGCCTCCTGCATGGGATGCTGCAGGAGTGACCAGAGCTAAACCAGCCCTGGCGTTGGGGTCTGTGGGTGACAGCTCAGCGGGGATTTAAAGGCTCACAGGTTTTCTGCAATGCAAACCCAATCCTGCTGACAGCAGCCACAGGGAGGCAATGCTGCCGGCCAGCTCCTGCCTCGGCACTCAACAAAGAGCTGGGCATTGTCCTGGCATTCTCCTGTGAGTGAAACCTAAAAAGGACCCCAATCCTGCTAAATACTCCCCTTTCTGAGCTTCTCTTTGCCCTTAGAAGGGATCTTCTTTTATGAAACTGTGAGCTCTCGACCTGGATCTTAACCTTGGGGTCAGGGCAATCCAGGGTGCATCAAAACCAGGGCAAGGAGGTTTGGGGCTCTGTCCTTGCTTTGACTTCAGTCTGTCATAAAGGAGGAGTAGTAACAGCTTCAGATAGTGATCCAAGAGTGTACAAGGTCTATGCTGAGCAACCCATCTGCTGTTACTGCCAGTGTGCAATAATGCCTTCACCTGCTGTCTATTTGCAAGCTCTGTTCATTTATAGACTTTTTTTTTTCAGTTGAGTTTTAGACAGCTATATGCAGGTTGAAGAAAACCAAACCTGTTATTTGTCAGATCCTTAAAGCACCCCACAAAGCCTATGGCATTTACAGACTGAAAATTGTTGTTGAAGGGCTTTAAATACGTAATTTTCCATCATTTTAAGGATATTTCTGTAACTTGAGTGACTCTCAGCATTAACCTCTGTAGGTGTTTCACCACAGCTTCCATGATGTCTTTCAAAGTGTTTTCTATGTCTGGCTCCCCTTTCAGAGAAAGGATAGGGAGAAAGAACAAAAATAATGAGGCTTTTGCTTATGTGATGTAATCCCTGAAGCCCATCTGTTTTCAGATAGTTCCTTGATTCTAAGAAGTGGGGGGTGAGAGAGCAAAAACACTTTCTTAAAGGTGTGCTTAAATTTACTGTCTGTCCTTTTGGAGGTGCTTTCCTGACAGGCTTGTTTCTCAAAGCACTGTGAGCTTAGCAGCTCCCTCTGACTTCCACCTTGATGCTGCTGGAAAAATGCAGGGAGGAATTCATGAGGGTTCAATTTGGGAATCTTTTGGTTTTAAATTAAGGGCCACTGGACTGTTTCTTTTTCCACCAAATGAGGATGTTCCCTCCCAAGGCTCGTGCTGTTCCTCCTGCAGCATCAGCATTCTTGTCCTTCTGTCAGCAGTTGTGTGGCTGCGAGGGGAGAAATGTACCCAGGATTGTAATTTCCTCCCTAGGGTGCTAAACCTGCTGTGTATTTATATTTATTGACTATCTTCAATCATTTCCCTTGTCCCCTGTTCTCTTGCTGGGGCAGAAGGCAGAGACAGGTGCTCTTAAATAATTTTTGCACGGCCTTTTTTGCTGAAATCCATCCGTGTAACACCAGTGACAAGCTCTTGACCTGGCTTTTTATGTATCTGAATCTCATTTCTTCTGATTCAAAAAGCAAAAAAACCACCAAGCCTTTTATCTTTTAGGACCAAAGGGGAAAAGAAGAGGTGTTGCCTTGTTTTCCGACAAAGTGCTTCAGCTGTAATTGTGTCTCTGCAATGATAATGCTAAAAGATGTGCAGCTTTTCAGGGACCTTTCTGTTTAAATGAGACCAACAACTGGGAACCCCTTGGTCTCTGGGCTCCCTTCAGTGTAATCCACCAGGAAATGCCTCAGTTCTGGCAGAAAAATCCTAATTTTACATAACACAAAAGTGCATGAAAGCTATTGTCAGGGCTGGAAAAAACATCCGGCATCTCTTTTGTGCTGAAGACTGCAGAAGGCTTATCATGTGGTCCATTGTTCTTTATTTTGAATGCATCAGGAGGCTCGAGAATTAATTTCTCCAGTGGTAAATTCCTGCCATCCAACCCAAGAAAGAAAAAAATAGATGTGACTGCTCTCTTCAAGTGCCTTTCCCACCCTGTGCTCCTGCCCTTGGCTGAGGCCACACGTTTACACAGAGCAATCAAGAGTTCCTGAAAATCAGGGGGGTCCCTTGTGTTCACAGCCTGTCCCTGTTGGTTTAACAGAAAATAATGTTTGGTCCTGGCCAGTTGAGCAGGAATAATTAATAGTAGCTGGATGAGTGCTCTTGTACCTCGGGGACTGCTTGGAGCTCTGTCCTGAAACACTGATGTCAGCCTGCCCTCTCTGAAGCCCGGCCAGGCTGAAGGCACACGTGGTCTGGGCAGTGTGGAGCTCGTTTTGGAGTGTGTGGGCTGGTTTTGGGGTGTGTGGAGCTGGTTTTGGGGAGCTGCTGCACATGGTGGAGCCAGAGGCAGCTCAGCCTTCCCCGTCAGTGTCTGGGAGGGCTTTGGAAATAGCTGGGGACAGGCTGCTGTGCTCCTGTTCATCTGCTGGTGAGGCTGGAGGGATGGGGCAGGGATACTAATGTGGCAGGTGGAGAAAGGAGGAGTGAAAGGGAGGAGGAGTGAAAGGGAGGAGGAGGATGCAAAGGGAAAGAAAGTGTGAATAAAAGAAAGGAAGGGAATAAAAAGACAGCATTGCAAATATAAAGGAACAGGCAGGCTGTCTTGCCTTTCCCCATCCTTTCCTTTCTCCACTTGGGATACTCTACCTAATCCCCACAAAGGCCAAAGTCTGAGCTCCCTCTCCCGTGACATTGCCCCCCTCCTACACTATGCAAATCCATTTGTCCTCTAAATGTGTATTTGAACGTAAACACCACCTCTACTCGTTAAGCTCCAATAAATATTTGCAGCATCGCACTCTCTGGCAGAGCAGCGTTTCTGGGGGAACCTTTTTGATGTTGTTTGCGTGTTTTGGACAGCCCTGCTTGTGATTCTTGGCAGTTCATGCTCCTCTCTTTT